CTGTGAGCCCCGCGGCTGGGAGCGGCCCGGCAGGCGGGCTCTGGCTCAGACAGCAAACAGATGTCGGCTATTTAAAGCCTCCCGTTAACTCGTTAGACAGCTGCTTCCATCCCGAAGTCGGCGGAATTGGAACTACACTCATTCCCGAATTAAACCCGCACACACGCACGCGTGCGCATGGCAGCGCTTGGGCAAAGCTGTGTCCCCGAGCCTGGGGACAGGGACTCAGCTTCTGCCCACAGCTTACGTCCTGCCAGCTGGGCCCGGGGCCAGGACACCCGTGGACCCCAGTCCTCAGGTCTGCCCTTGGCCTCTCACCTGTCACATCCCGTCCCCTCCCCGTGGTCAGGACTTCAGTGGCTTTGCCCCTCCCCACCTGCTACTGCACCAGTCCGAGCCTCCATCGCCTCCCGCCTGGACGCCTGTGTCAGCCGCCCTCACCTCGCGAGGAGCCGTCTGGCGGGGCTGTCGCAGGGTCTCACTAACATCTCTGCCATGGGACTGTCGTTAGAACTTTCCGGGATGTTCTAGACGGGTGCCACCCAACGCCCCCGCCTCACGTGGCCGCGCAGCACTTGGAAAGAGGCTGGCGTGGGGACCCGGAGTCCTGTCGCCTTTTGCCCTGGTGGGTTTGGCCATCAGCTCTGGGGGTCCCTGCTGCTGATGGCTGCGCTCCCCAAGTGTTGCTGGCTGACCTCCTGTGGGCAGGGGCTGTCACACACCGCTCCCAGTGCTCCCCGCAGCGCCTCGCCTCGGAGGCCGTCCCTGGCCACCACAGCAGTGCCTGCTCCTCCACAAACCCGCTTCCTCTCTCCCCCAGCCCTGCTAGGACTGTCTCCTACGCACACCACGGGTCCCCAAACGTGGGGACACAAACAGGCCAGGCTCCAGGTGCACAGACACCCATCAAGGTCTCACATAGCCCTGTCACCAGCCCCGTTTCCTCCTCACTCTCTGCCGGTCACACTGTCCCCACCGTTTCCTCAGTCCCCACAGGTCCTCTGGCCACAGGACCTTTGCCCAGGCTGTTCTTGCACCAGGATCTCCGGTCCTGCCCCATGTGGGGGGCGTCCCTGCCCACCTCCTCCCTCTGTCCCAGACTTAGTTTTTCCTAGTGCCTTAAAGATTTTTTTTTTAGTGCCTTAAGGATTTCTGGGGTTTTTAAAAATGTTTTGTTTTGAAATTATTTTAAACTTATAGAAAAATGACAGAAATAGCGCAGAGCTCCCATGTACCCTCCCCCCAGCCGCCCCTAAAGTTAACATCTTACATAACCAAGAATGATCAAAGTCACACTGAGACTCGTCAGGTTTTACATATATATATATATATATATATTGTTTTTTGGAGCGGGGAGGCACTGGGGTTTGAACTCAGAGCCTCACGCTTACTAGGCAGGTGCTCTACTACTTAAGCCACCCCGCCAGCCCTTTTCTGTGATGGGATTTTTGAGATTAGGGTCTCGTGAACTATTTGCCTGGGCTTGATTTGAACTGAGGTTCTCCCGAGTAGCTGGGATTACAGGCGTGTGCTGCCGTGCCCGGCCACCTTGACCCTTCTGAAGGGCACCCCTCACTGCTGTGGAGACCATCTGGAAGCTCCGTGTCCCTGCTGATCCCACGGGGACGAAGCTCTCTGACTGTCACAGCATCAAATCAGCAGCACACGGCGTCACTGTGTCTCTGCAGTGACATTAACCTTGATCCCGTGACCGGGTGCTCAGTCAGCTTTCTCTGGGAGACTTACCTCTATCTTTTCTGAATGAACAAATATCTTGACAGTTTCTTGGAGACTCCGCGACTGCCCTGTTTCTCCTTAAGCTTTCTCCCCGCGATGGTGTCACCCCGCCGTGATGGGCACAGGCCTTGCCCCGCACACACTTTATCTCCTGGTCATTTACTGCGGCATGCATTGCCGTGTGGCACGGTCTGGGTCATTTCTTTGGACAGCGTTTGACATCTGCGTCCCCCGCGGGACGAGCCGCACTGTGGGGACAGGATGCAGCCGCCATCCTCTCTGTGTCCACAGGATCCACTGGCGAGTGAGATGTCCGGAGCGGCAAATCCGCGCTGTGCAGGCGGTGTGACCTGGTGTCACCCGGAGAAGGAGCTGTGTCCTGCGAGTGAAGCTGTTACGACTCGGGGGTGTCTCCGGGTGACGAGGACCCAGAGAACACACAGAGGTTTCTCCTGCCCTGGTGGACATCAGAACCCAGGCGGTGCCGCGTGGCCTCGTCCCTGCGGCTGTCCGGTGAAGGTGCGGGAGCAGTGGCACCATTGCCATGGATCGAAGAGCGAAGAAACACAGGGCCCGGCAAAGGCGTCCCCCCGCGCTTGGTCACCTGCTGGTAGACAACCCAGTGACGGAGGGCAGCGCTTCAGCAGGACAGCCAGGTCCCAGTGACTTTAGTTTTTCCTTTCCTTTTTTTTTTGGTGGCACTGAGGTTTGAACTCACGCTTGCTAGGCAGGCGCTGTGCCACTTAAGCCACTCCGCCAACCCTTTCTGGTTATTTTGGAGATGGGGTCTTGCTAACTTTAGGCCCGGCTGGCCCCACACCACAATCCTCATGATCTCTGTGTCTTAAATCCCAGCTGGGATTACAGGCCTGAGCCACTGCACCCAGCTCGGCTCCTTTTTGCTTCCTGGTCATAAAGGGAGCGGTTTTGCTCCACCAGGTGCTCCTGCCATGACAGGTGGCCTCACCACAGGTCCTAAGCAGCACAGCCAACGGACCAAGGATTGCGGACCAAGAAAAACTTTTCTTCTCTATAAGTCGATTACCTCAGGCGTTTTGCTACAGTGACAGAAGGCTGGGCTGACACAGGAGGGCTCGTGGCAACTATGTCTGTCAAGTCTGCACGGATGAGCCTCACTTTGCATGTGAAGTGGAGGTCTGAGCAGGGTGGGGGCGGCATCCGCTCAGCTGGCACCCAGGGCTAAGGTCGAGGACCTAGCCAGCTCCCGGCTCATCCAGCTCAGGAAGTGTGGCACAGTCCACTGCACGTCAAGCCCGGGCCAGGCCCAGGGCTGAGGCCTGGGGAGGGAGAGGGAGACCGGCAGAAACAGAGAGAGAAATAGAGAGACAGACACAGAGATGCAGAAAGGAACGGAGCGAGCCAGGCACAGTGGTGCACGCCTGTAATCCTAGCACTCGGGAGGCAGAGGTGGGAGGATCTCGAGTTCCAGGCCAGCCTGGGATGCATAGGGAGACCCTGGCTCAAAAAAAGAAAAAAAGGCAGAAAGTGATGGGGACAATGTGACAGAAGAACATACACAGGACATAGAGAGCAGTATGGCAGAGACCTATGAAGAGCGAGAGAGCGAGAGAGAGAGAGAGAGAGAGAGAGAGAGAGAGAGGAAGGGACAGAGATTGAAACCACCACGGACAGTTCTGTCCTGGACGGCTGAGCAGGTGACACGTGGGCCCGGAGCTGCCCACGACAAAGCAAATGGAGGCCCACGTGGAGGAAGAGACATCCCGAGGAGACAGAAAGAGAAGCTGGTCCCTCATCAAGTAGTTTCTGGCGCCTGGAGCAAGCCACACCTGAGGCCCACACTCTGCACCTTCCGTTTCCCAGACGGATGGATTCTGCTTCTCGCCGGGGAAGTGCGCGTTGCGTTTTCTGTCAGTGCAGTGAGGAAGAAGAAAGCAGAAGAAAGATCCAGAAGGGAGTGTGCACACCCCCTCCATCTTTCTCGCTTCTTCTTTGTGCCATCCGCCAGGCTGAAGTCCAGCCCCGGGTGCGGGCGGCTGAGACAGGACAGCTCCCAGCCTGGCCCCCATTCCTCAGAGCTCATGTCCTGCTGTCGCTCTCCACAGCCGGGTCCAAACCCCAAGCTGACTTTCCATGTGCCGGATGCTCCGCCAGGGCCTGGAGTCAGTGTCTCTCGGGGACCCCAGCTGCAGACCCAGCCCAGGAAATGCAGCGGAGGAGGCGGTGTCCGAGGAGGAGTGGGGCTGCTTCGGGGAGCAGGGAAGCTGGGCCCGGGATCCGGCAGGAGTTGACCAGGCGAGGAGGAGGAGGAGGAGGAGGAGGAGGGGAGAGATCCAGGCAGCGGGCGCAGCCGTGCAAAGGCCCTGGGGCAGATGGAGCCTGGCCTGATGGAGGAGCTGCGAGGAGGCCCGTGTGGTTGAAGCAGGAGGAGCGAGGGAGACAGAGGGAGGAGGGAGGAATTTGGCTTTTAAGAAATGTCCTCATGCTGGGTGCCCATGACTCACGCCTGTCATCCTAGCTACTCAGGAGGCAGAGATCAGGAGGATCGTGGTTCAAAGCCAGCCCAGGCAAACAGCTCACGAGACCCTATCTTGAATAACCCATCACAAAAAAGGGCTGGTGGAGTGGCTCGAGGTGAAGGTCCTGAGTTCAAGCCCCAGTCCTCAGAAAGAAAAAGAAAACCCAATAGAAAAGAAAGAGAAGAGCTGACCTCATCCTCATGTCCGAGGGTCCTTCCACCAGTGTCAGAGATGAGGGGACTTTGGCACCTTCCCTGTTGGGGTATCTGGGAGCCTTAAGATTCTCACAAGGCAGTCAGTATGCATCTGTGTCCCCGGCAGCCACCACCCCACCCTGTGGCCTCTTGGACCTCACTGGTTCTGGAAGTCATCTGAAGGTGGCCAGGCACCGGGAGCGCTGTGTCAGCCAGGGCAGCCAGGGAACACTGCAGGGGATGTCACAGGGCGATGTCACAGAGGCTGGGGACTTACAGAACCCTGGGCCCTGCTGGCCTCAGCCTCACCGGGCAGACAGGCAGCCTGGGGCAGCCACCCTAAGCCCGGGCTTTGGAGGCACCATGCGGGCTGAGCCACCCCAAGGAGCCAGTTCCTCCTAGAGCCACCGTGGTGCCAGTGGCCACGTGTCCCCGCCTGCCATCCCCTGTCCTAGCCACCTGCACCTGCATCCTGGCCACCAGCAGCTGGGTGGCCTGGAGATGCCCGAGGGTCCCCCATCCGTCCTCCCCGGCGGGACCTAGGTGCCTGCGGCCAGAGGCTGGGGTGGCCATGGGGTGGCGGGGGCCGGGCCCAGGCCTGGTGACGGTGGCGGCCTCTCTGATCCTGTCGGTGCTGCTGGCACGCTCGGAGGCGGTGGTGCGGGCCGTGCTGCGTGGCAACTCCAGCTCGGTGGACTTTGCGGACCTGCCGGCCCTGTTCGGGGTCCCCCTGTCCCCCGAAGGCGTGCGCGGCTACCTGGTGGAGGCCAGGCCGGCCAACGCGTGCCAGCCGATCGAGGGCCCGCGGCTGGGCAACGGCTCCCTGGGGGCCATCGCGCTCATCCGGCGCTACGACTGCGCCTTCGACCTCAAGGTGCTGCACGCGCAGCGGGCCGGCTTCGAGGCGGCCATCGTGCACAACGTGCGCTCCGACGGCCTGGTGCGCATGGCGCACGGATACGACGACCTGAGGCACCACATCGCCATCCCTGCCGTGTTCGTGGGCGAGGCCGCGTCGCAGGACCTGAGGGTCATTGTGCGCTGTGACAAGTCGGCCCACGTGCTGCTGCTGCCCGACGCCCCGCCCTGCCCAGACCTGGACTGTCACCCGGTGCTGGCCGCCGCCTGGGTGCTCGGCCGCGCGCTGGCTCTGCTGGCGTCCACCCTGATGGTCCTGCGACGCCTGTGGCTCTGGGCCCGAGCCTGGTCCAGCCGCACGGCCGCCACCAAGACGCAGCCCGGCCAGAAGGCCCAGGTGCGCACCTTCACGCGACACAGCGACCTGTGCGCCATCTGCCTGGACGAGTACGAGGAGGGGGACCGGCTGAAGATCCTGCCCTGCTCCCACACCTACCACTGCAGGTGCATCGACCCCTGGTTCTCGCTGGCCGCCCAGCGCGCCTGCCCCATGTGCAAGCAGTCGGTGGCCAGCACGCGGGGCAGCTCCGACTCCGTCACCGAGAGCTGCGGGGACGAGGACCCGTCCCTGCCGGGGCACCCGCCCCCCATCTGGGCCATCCAGGCTCGGCTGCGCTCCAGGAGGCTGGAGCTACTGGCCAGAGCTGGGCCCCGGCCCAACTGCAGCACCACGTCCCTAGGGGCGGCTGAGAACGTGTTGTCCTCCTCCTCCGATGGGTCCCCCGGGCCCTCCTGAGCCACTCCCTGGCCAGCAAGATCTGGGGCAGGGGGACAGTGTTTGGAGAATAAAATGGGTTTGTTGTTGGGCGGATGCAGAAGTGATGGCTGGATCTCAAGCACCTGCTTTGCCTTAGGAGGAGGAGGTTGGCTGGGACTGGCTCAGGCAACCCAGCTGAGCCCCGGACATCCCCGGGGTCTTCAGTGAGTGGAGGACACATGGTAGCTGGGTGCGGACGGAGGGTTCCAGGGCCGCTGTGGGCGACAGGCAAAGGTAGCTGCATGTCTATGTTCCTGACCTGGGGACACTGGCTGCTCACCCTTCCTGGATTTGTGCATTAGTGGTTTACCCTTTTTCTTTTTGTTTTTGGCGGCACTGGGGTTTGAACTCAGGGCCTCATGCTTGCCAGGCAGGTGCTCTACCACTTGAGCCACTTCTGCAGCCCTTGTTTTGCACGAAGCCTTAAGATTTTGCCCCAGGGCCAGCCTGGACCACGTCCAGAACACCTGGGGTGACAGACAGACTCACCCCACTCCCACCTTACCGACTGAGATGGGGACCGGGGGGTCCTCCAAAACTTTTTGCCCAGGCTGGCTTCGAACCTTCACCCTCCCTATCTCTGCCTCCTGATGTAGCTGGGGTTTATAGGCGCCACGCATGGCACTTTTCCCCTTTAAAATAAAACCCAGATGTCTTTTCGTTAGTGCATTTCTGCGGTTCTCCCTTGGCTATGGCCCTGGTGTGAGGTCCCCATGTGGTATCCCTGGGGATGTGGCTCCTTGGTGAGGACCTGCCGCCACCTGAACTCCGCAGAGCACTACGGCCAGCCAGGTCGCACCATTCAGTGTCACAAAGGAAGCCACCCAGGATCGGGGTTGGAGCCTGGTGCCACCAGAGAGGTCGTTGCACCCAGCAGGCCTGAGGGGATGGGAATGGAGAGGGGGACAGGGAGATGTCACAGTCAGCGCCGAGTGGGGATCCAAGCGCCAGCCACGTGGGCTGAGGTTTGTTCCCAGAATGGGGACTGCTGTGGCTCTCCACACTGTCCCTCTCCTTGCCGCTATATGCCTCATGGGACAAGGCAGCTGTTTGCCATCCGGCCATCACATCTGCAGTCCAGGCAGTGAGGAGAAAACAGTAAGGAGAGACTACTCTATGCTGCTTTAACAACGCTTTGTAGAAATCTGTCCACATTCACTTGTCATGTGGCTGACACCTGACGGAGTCTCAGTGGACAACTGTCCAGGTGGAAGCCAGGGCTTCCATTACGACTGGTGGGGAGAGAGTGGATAGTAGAGATGACAACTTGGGACTCAGTCCATACAGCTGCCCAATACATGTTTGTTGAATGACTGAATGACTGAGTTGATGAATCCCCACACAGCTTACACCTCCTTTGGGTAGTGGAGGGCCCATTGTCACTGCACCAGATCCCAGGCCGGCTGCTTCACCCCACCATCCATCCTCTCTGAGCCTCAGTTTCCCCATCTGTAAGGTGGGCACAGCAGTTGCACTTGCCCACGGGGATATTTAAATATGGAATATGCTTAGTATAGAGCCTGCTTGCCATCTACTAAGTGCTCTGTTGATGTTTGTTGATGGACCAGTTGACTTACCACAGCCCTGAGTTGGCTGATGGAGGCTCCCTGATCACTCCAGAGAATCCAGTCAGCTTCCTGGAGGTGGTGTCTTCTACACCTAGTGCAAATGAGCTACAATCGCTGCATCCAGTAGGTGCTTACTAGGTGCACACTCCCTCCCTGCCTCTCTGCAGGACCTGCCCCCCTCTGAGCAAGGGCCCTGTGCTTTGTCCCGGTCTCACCAGTCCCCGAAAGCCAGGCCTGGGCACTGATCCAGCTGCCCCCGGAGAAGCAGCAGCGCCAAGCCTTCCAGCTGCTCTGCTGCCCACGCCAGCCGCTCCCCGCCTTGGCAGCGTCCCATCTGTGTGCACCTGGGGGGAAACTGAGGCTCAGCCGAGGGGTGGCCCCTCCACAGTGCCCGGACTCATGGGGTCACCTCTGCTCTCCAGATGGGGAAACTGAATCCACGAGGGCCTCTGGTGAGCCCAGAACTAGAGAGCTGAAAGGTGACAGAGCTGGGATTTGAACTCCAGCCCCATGAATGTGCTCACTGCTGCGGGCAAGGCAGAGGGAACCCTGCTTCCAGGAGCTGACACCACGCACGCGGGGACAACAGGGTGGTGATTTAGTGAGGGGAACCAGGGAGGGCCTCCCGGAGGAGGCGACATGCGGCAGCGTCAACCACTGGATGTTACCGGGACGATGTGCGGAAATGGCCTCCGGGTGGCCAGAGCCACGAGTGCAAAGGTCCCGAGGCAGAGGACGCAGCAGGCCAACATGGCTGCAGCAGAGCGAGCCCACGGTGCGGACGGAGGACATGGGAGGAGACTGAGGAGACCCAGGCACAAGTTTGAATGCATCTGATGGCAATGGGGAGCCAGGGTGGGAGCCGCACTGGAGAGCAATTCACACAAGAAAAATAATCTTTGACAAATGCATAGTCACGCAACCACCGCACTATCAAGACAGAGCAGTGATGTCTTCCCAGAATGGCGCCCGTGCCCATCCGTCCTCTTCGGGGGTGCCCAGCCCCTGGCCCCGTAGTTTTCCTTTTCTAGAATGTTGTATACAGTTGGTGGTTCATTTGTGCGGGTTTTGCATCTGTGATTCAAACAACTGCAGGTGAAATAGAAAGTTTTCAGGAGGGAGGATTGCATGTGAACTGCTCGTGTGCTGGCTTTGTTGGTTTTGTTTTTTTTTTTTTTTTGGTGGCACTGGGATTTGAACTCAGGGCTTTCCACTTGCAGAGCAGGCACTCCACTGCTTGAGCCACACCCTCAGTCCATTTTGCTCTGGTGGTTTTGGAGATGGGGTCTCTGGAACTGTTTACCCAGGCTGGCCTCGAACCTTGGTCCTCCTGATCTCAGCCTCCCAAGTAGCTGGGATTACAGGTGTACACACACACCTGCTTCAACACTTTCGGTCTTTGCTGAGGACCCAGAGGCTCAGAGAGGTTAGGTCACTTGCCCTAGAGCAAACAGCTCAGAAGAACAAGGCTTGAATTTGAATCCAAAAAGCCTATGTCAAGAGGCTGTATGGGATAAAGTGACCCACCTCCTTTTCAGTGGGGCTGCTTAGAGGGTCCCTCAACCCCAGGTTTTGTCCAGGTTCCTCTTCCAACTGCCTTCGGTGAGGACCAGACCTCTCCAATATGGGCCAAAGACAGGGTCTTCTTCACCTCCTCTATGTCACACCCTGTACTCCTAGTGATACAACCAGTGAGAGGCAGTTGCTCAGGAAGCACTACTGTCATTTTCTGTGGCTACTGGTGGCCAAGATCTCAGCCTGAACAGTGTGGGGAAGGGGCTGTGAAGGCTGCCATCCCTGGCGGGTCCTCCTCCCTCCTCCCGTGTCCCCGCCTCCTCCCCACGCCCTGTCCTCTCCTTGCCCGCCCCTTGAAGCCTCCCAGCCAGGCCCAGGAGGGGAGGATGTTCTTCTGAACAGATGGCTGCCTTCCTCTTCCAGCACTCTGCCAGTTAATTAACGCTGCCTGTAATTAAACTTCCCACAAATTAGCTGTCAGCTACGCTAAAGGGAACCGTCCCTCGCAAATGCCACCTTGACTTGCTGAATTGTGAGTCTTGTCGACAAAATAATTAAAGGCAGAGGGAGGCAACAAAACTAGGAGTCTCCTTCACCCCATCCCTGTATCTCTGTTGGCGTCTGTCCCTAGCCAGCAATCCCAGCTAGGATGCAGAAGTGCAGGACGTTTTGCTCAGGCTTCATTAATTAATGTTTTTCATTGTGGAAAGTGTCTTTATTGAGTACTGACTGTTTTCAAGAACTGCTGGGTATATGACAGCCTGTGCAAAGGTCCTGGGGCAGGATGAGCCTGGGTGATGGAGGAGCAGCAAGGAGGCTGTGTGGCTGGAGCAGAGGGAGCGAGGGGGACAGAGGGAGGAGGGAGGCAGGGAGGGGACAGGCAGGTCGTGCAGGGCCCTGTGGGCTGCAGGGAGGACTTGGGCTTTGAACCTGAGGGAGGTGGGAGCATGGAGGGCTGTGGGCAGGGGAGGGAGGACCTGGCTTGGCGCTCACGGGCGCCCCCTGGTGGCTAGGAGACGACAGGTGGTGGAGGGCCAGGCTAGGGGGCCACTGCCCTGCTCCAGGTGGGATGATGGAGCTGGGATGATTATGGAGACAGAAGAGGATGGGAAACTGGCAGGTTTGAGGTCACCTTTGCAGGCCAAGGCGACAGGATTGGCTGATACATTGTCCAGAGAGTTTGGGAAAGGAATGAGTCTCTGTCCCCAGCTCAGGGCAGAAGAAAAGGACAGCTGGTCCATTTCTGGATGCTGGAGTTCCACAGAGCAAAGCCTCCTTCAACGTGAAAACCCGGGCTGGAGCTCGCGTGGCAGAGTGCCTGCCCAGCAAGCAGGGAGCCCTGAGTTCAAACCCCAGCATCGCCAAAACAACAACAAACAAAAAAACCCAAGATGAAAACCCCCAGCCTTGGTCTACCCAAAACAGGCTGTGTTTGCATGGACGAGGTCCCGGACCAGCCCAGGCCTCTGCACCCCACTGACCTGGGGTTTCCCTGGTATTAAGGATGGGGAGACATGGCAAGGTCTGGAAGCTGCAGAGCCAAGCCTCGGGGAACCCCTGGGGAGACCAGCAATGTGCCCGCCAGCTACAGAGATCTAAGCTCCAGCTGGGATCAGAGGAGAGGGGCTGCGGGACGGGGCTTTGCCAACCAGCAGGAAGGCCAACTGGATCTGGGTGTCATCCCCCCCCATATCCCCTAGGATCCTGTGCAGCCCTGCAGACCAGACTTCTGGCCCTTGAAGCATCTCAGGACCTTTGCACAAGCTGCGGGTACAGCCAGAACGCCCCGTCCTCCTCCCTCCTACCCTGTTCTTAGCCTTTGGGTTACTCTGCATCACCTCCTCTGGGAGGCCTCCCTGATGCCCCGCCTGAGCCAGGTCCCTCCTGGGCCCTGCA